TTTTAAACAAACTGATAAAATAATCCCTATAGGATGTTAAATGGTTTTAGGTAATTGGCAAGAAATTCTGTGCCTAGGTGTTGAGAAAGTCGGGACTAAGTTAATAAGGCGCAACTCTCTGTAGGATTCAAATCTTCATCATCCAGTTCCACAATCTGAGATGTTACCACTAAGTTATTCAGGACATTTACGACTAATTGATCACTGAGTATTGACCAATGTTTGTCTAGTCCTATAGCACTGATCGAATTCTATCTATCAAGATAATAAAGGTTTCTGAATGAAAGAACAATCAAAATCGAACAAATAAAAAGAGTTACTAAATGAATTTCATAGTTAAAGCATCTTAATATTGAAATCATATAGGTTTAATAGGAGAAACGCTCTGAAGTATAAATTCTCTAAGCACTATGGTTTCATGTAAATTTACGTTTTCAAGGATGTAAACAATTTAGTTTTATATTGGAGTTATTTGCGAACAGCCCCCAAATGCCCTGGCACGGCCGAGACTGGGGAGAGTCAGCTCTCCTCCTCGAAATGATCTCAAGTGGACACGAGTATACAACCAATGCCACACAAGTCCAACTCACTGCATTACTGTTGTTTACGGAATTGACAGAACGAAAAGAGAATGTCCGGCTCTCTAACCTGATTGGTGGTTATAGAAGATCTACATAGGAGAGTTGGAAAACCCTCATTCCAAACCAGTAGTGCACATGGGCTCCAGGATCCTGAGGGGACAAATGGCATATGCACCAATCGTTGGTCACCGTCTACGATGGGAGCGCATCTCCTAACGTTGCTCTACTGCCATGTGGATTAGACCTTTAGGTCAGAGGCTCCGGGTGTGGCCTCCTACGAAGATTACCTGCTTCGGTTTGGGCACCCCAGCCCTCATGCTAATCGAATGATTCATGTGACGCATATCTATTTGGTGCCTCCTTGTACCAATGTTTATGTGTTTAAGTAAATAAATGTTTGGGAATATGATATTTTCCCAATATGTCTACGGATCCTCTCTAATGTAAATGTGACATCACCTTTGATTAAACTGAATGCTTCTAAGTAGTACATATGTATTGTTTATTAGAATTCTGGAAACTAAGTTGCATAATATGATCTCAACATTACGAATGACCCATAATAAGTAAAAAAATTTTCAAGATGGTCTCTGTATTCTGTTCACTTTATCGTAGCTAATTAATTTTAGTGGTTAGTTATTATCAATAGCGTCTGTAATTACACATTCAATGAATGGGATTAAATAAACCAACTGATTCATTTAGATTTCTACTGAACTAAATAAAATTGTGAGACTTACTGACGAAATTAAATAAGGATTGCACTATACGAGATAGATTGACTTAAGATGAAAATATCAGGCATTTGGTTCTAACTAACTGTTCATCGCCGAACTTGAAGGTAGTATGATTAGTTCTATGCAATACCAAAGAATAACAAATTAGAAGGAAACAGTTTCTGTTGCCGTCTGATCTTTAGTTTTGATATCAGTTCATGATAATAAACATGATACTCTGTATGGAAATCTTCGAAAATTCACCCTAGTAAATAATTATCAATAAATTAGTTCAATTGTATTATACGTCAGATGCGTGAAACTGGGTCACTTAAAACTGTTAATAATCGAGCATATCATAGGAGTCAGTAATGAACTATTAGTGTTGTGTTTGTCTTCATGTAAGATTGAAATGTTTACAAATTAATTGGTTTTACTGACGAATACCAACGTAGAACTTCGTATGTACATATATCAGTTCAAGTTATTATAGCACAGAGATACAACTGTCGATTTAAATCCCATAGTGATAGAAGTAGTAAGAGTGTAAGCAGTAATCGGAAAGACAAGGGTTTGAAGATGTTAGTCAACAAGTATAATCCAGTGAAATAAACTTGGAAAGCGAAAAAAGAAAGGGACACGAAGGATTCAGAAGATTAGAATTTGGGAGGACACAAGGAGTGGGTGCACCTGCACTATTACAAACGATTTTGAGCCATGTCATTCAAGGTCTCTAACTATCGGTTGCCATCGTCTCGTGGATCCCAACCAGCTAGCCTACACCTACCAACATGACTCAGTCCACTTGTCAGTGACTTCATGGATGTATGCCATGTTTTGATTTGGCCGCCTCTAGCTTTATTTCAACCTACTCCTAGATCATAAAACATCACACGTTGGAGCAGTCGGTGGTTTGGCATACGTAACATATGTCCCAGCCATCTCAACTGATGAAGTTTCACTCCCCTACAACTACTATCACGAATACCAACTAGTTTTCTATCGTTGTTGACTCCAACCATTTATTATCAAATAAAGTTTACAGTAGTAATATTGAGTCAGTTAATTTAGTATAATATAGCAGTATACATAATTCAATTGGTTCATCAGATTATTTATTGTTTAAAATACACAAGTTATTGTTCTAATCCTAAAAATAAACACTAACAACAATAGAGATTATAAAGTAATTGACTGCAGTTAACATCTTTTATATTTTAAGTACTAGGTTTTCCAGTAAATAAAAGGGACGTTTTATGATTTACAAACTGGGAATCTGCTGAAAGCCATAGAACACTAGATACTTGTTTCTATCCAACCTGACATTTCACAGCAATGTAAACTTACAGAATTACCAGGGGTTGAAACCAGTTCCTTTAGGTTACGTAGTGAGGAGACGTTATCTTCAGTACAAAATCCAGTAATCTGCTTGTCCAAACTCAATTAATTCATGCTTATTGTCCTCTGATGCTCAATAGTATATGAAGGAAATATTTTAGACCTGAATTAATCACTATAAATAACTTAAATAAGTTGATATGTTAGTTACATGGCCTTTATTACATTAGCAAATGTGTTATTTGTACTTCTATCTAACAGTTGGTCCGTCAGTAACAACGTGGAACTTCGTACGTGCGTACATCTCCTATCTAACAAGTCTGTAGGAGTGTCATAGGTTACTATTCAAGTAAACTAACTACTTTTATACTGCTATATACTCTCTTGCTAACTAACTACTTAATTAGCTTGGTAAGTGTTTCATCTTATTGATTATTATTACCCATAGGAACGAGATAGTTCACTGATAAGAACCAGAAATGAGTGTGAAGTAAAAGAAACTGCACTGTCTTTAATAATGAAATTCCAGTTAGTGTCAACCAGTTGAACAGTGAGAGAGGGAACAAGAAGTATCTATTCAGTTTCAAGAAACACCGACATAAACTGTACGATCATGTAAATGGTTAGTTCACACTGTGTTGATCTAATTGTGATACCTAAGTTGTAAGAATTTTCTCGATTTATGAAATGGGTATTCTTCCTTTTAAACAAATTATGAAGTTGAGGAAACTGAATTCACAGCCACATACACGTAACGGTTCAAGCCGTGACAAATAGGCATTATCAAAGCAATTCGCTCAAGATGAACAGATGCCAAGTAATTTGATCACGATTCAGTCCCGAATAGCAACAACGGGATAACTCAAGCTCTTTCTAGAAATAACGTAGTTAATGACCTCATGGACTCATGCCAGGTATTGGTTTGACCACCTACACATTTATTTCACTCAACATCTACATCCGTTTACATTGTCAATCGAGGTAGGCAGTCGTTGTATATACGTTATATACACTTATATGTATTTTTCGAGTAATTTAAATTAAAATGCATTATTTCTGTTGTCACTGGAATAACGATTTATACAAGTTTTAGTGAATATACAATCGTTTTCTTTAAGAGATTGTATTTAATTACTTTTGAACACCGATTACCACGTCGTGCAATGCTAACCGGTGTTGGATGGAAATTAGGGGCGGCCAAACCAAAACGTGCCATCAGTCCTTGAAGTCACTAACCTGTAGTCTGAGCCATGTTGGTAGATACAGACTACTTGGTTGGGGTCCGCGTGACTTTCGTAACCAATGGTTAGAGACTCTTGGTGACATGGCTCAGAATCAATCACAATGGCATAAGTGTATACACTCTTTGTCTTCCCTTAAATCGCGAGATTAAGATCGTTTGATATCTTTCTTTCTACGAACTAATTCTTCATTCCTGTACCATGTCCTTATATGCAACCTTTATTTTATATATTGCCACCATTGTATTAACTACTGTGAATCCGATGTTCATCTTGTTGTGCTAATGCGGTATGGCAACCTGGACCAATGCATATATGTGCCTGGTCCTACGTTGTAGCTGACTGACTGATTTAAATACTTTATAGTGAACATGGTTACCTCCTAACGATGTGAAGTGGCTAAATACTCTCATCAACGATAATGTATGTTCATGGGAGAGGGAAGAGTTACGCGGAAAAGCATCAAAAGCAAAAACTTTATATTGGGATTTCACTGCTAGATTTTATTCTCCGTAACTAAGAAAGGTTTCCTTCTATAAAGTTGTTTAGAGAAACATATAAAAAGTATTTTGAAATTGGCTACTCTGGATAATAATTTAGTCCCTACACTTGGACTACAGCTTGACCATCCTGCCTAGTAAGTTATCGAATAGACAAAAACTAATGTGTAAACACATTTACTTCGAAGATAAGACTTGAGTACCAGATACGGTTTACTTTCCGTCAACGAAGATAAAAGTATAACCATAAAAACACGTCTCGAGTAATGGTTATCTTGTCAAGAATCTCGTTAGATGTACCGAGACCTATTCTGCTTATAAACCAATGATCACTTTTAATTTGCTTCGCAGTAGAAACATCTAACCCCAAATATTAGTAAGTACAAGACTTGATCAATTTAGTCCGGATTAACAAAAACATGACCAACTTGATCTTCTCATACGTAACGCGATGACAGACATGGACCAGTTAGTTGGGGTCCGCCAGATTATGGTAACATAGAATCTGGTAGCAGGTGTCTTCACTCCTTATTTTTCTAAACGAAACTTGAGTGCCGAAATCTCCCTACACTTTTTTCCTCTTTTCCATTAAATCTACCAACTACTGTCATAATAATTACAAGATACAACAATAAGCAGTGTTTATTGAAATGCGGGAATGATTGATTAATATAGGATGATACATGCGTAGCAAAATTTATCCACCGGTGATTATCATCAATGTAACAAAAATAGTAGAAATACAAGCAGTTACAAAAAACACCCCAAGCAAATATCAGTGTTCATTTGAAGGCGTTAGGGTAGTCGTTTATAATTGCGAATGGCAGTAACGTCACCAACAGTCACAGTCTAAAAGGGAATACATATTAGGAGTGAGAAAATATCAGTTACCGTTTTCATAGTATCACCATCGACTTCACGAACGATTACAGTTGTGTTTTTGGGATCTACTTGAGTTTGTGTTAACTTCGACTCGGAATTTTTTTCAACAACTGACTACAAGGGAAAAAAGCAAATAGCAGGAGTGAAAATATTATTCTTTCATTGGGATAAAAACGCGTTTGGTAATTGCTGACTATGGCAGTAAGAATGTAGTGCAATGAGTATTTCTGGGTTTTTGGTCTTTAGGTTATGGGTTACAGCTACTCCCTAACATATATATTTTGGAATTAAATCTACTTGTATCGTCTCATTTACCGTTTTGGTGACTTAAGTGTTCGTGTGTGATGATTGAAATCGAAAGAAATAACCTCGACAATACATGCAACTACTTGTGGAAGGCTTTGACATTAAGCTGATGTCTGAATAATGGTTTACTCTACATCGCTGATTAGCTCTGAACCTAATAATAATAGGTTGGCTATTGGAGAATCAAAGAAAGAACATGTAAAAGGGCAAATCAGCTGATAAGTACACACAAGTACTTGATTTGGTGATTGTAAGTCACGGTTTTGATATGAAGGAACGAATGACCAATTAGATTAATCCCCATGAATTTACATATGATCAAAGGAATGTCTAATAATTTAGCTATTGTTTCTTAGTAACTATTAGATCTTTAAAGCACATACACACCGAGAAGTCAAAAGTTTATTTACCTTGACGTTTCTGCCATCACTTGTTTTTTCTTCGAATTCCTCGCCGAACTTGAACGTACAAGAAAGATTTTTGAAAGTTGATTCTGTTAACATGGTCATTTTATCCCCATCCATTGTGAAGGTTACAGTCGGTGTCACTGTGTTCCCAATCTGTCGAGTTGCCCATGAGACACCTAAAAGGAAGATATAATTAAATTAAAAACCCCTATTTAGTTGATAAAAAAAATACTATGAAATTATATAGAGAAAAAAGCGAAAAGATGATGTGATCAACACAAAAGCAACGTCATACTTTTAAAATCTAACCAATGAACGCAACATACGAACAATGTATGCAGATAAGTTTTAAGAATTAAAAACATAATTGCCTCGTACATGAGTGAAGGTTTTGCTGTGTAGACGTTATTTACACTGAGAAATAACACAGAAATCCCTGATCAAGAAGCAGTCGTTCCCTAAATAGACTACCGATAGGAAAGTTTGTGAATTTTCAGTTGGATTAATCTCTGAGATTTCCCAAAGACATACATGATTTTGGTCTTCACTATGACTAGTTCCTTTACGATTTGATTACCGAAGTAATACTTCATTTTGAATAAAGAAAAAATTTAGATGGTTGTATGCTGTGGACCTGCACGGGTCACTCCCGAATCACACAAGACATACAATAACACGGTTTTGGAAAATCAAAGATGAACATCAATTCTACAACTAAGAGGAACATGATACTAGAAACATGAATGACAGCAAAAATCATAAGTATCTTACTTTCCCCTGAAGATGCATAAAACCGTAAACTTTAACAATATGTAGTTACCTAGCTTTGACATGACAGCATCGAAGTTGTGTGACTCGCTAAGTTTCCATTTTCCCAAGAAAGAAGACATTGTTTTCGACTAGTGTGATGCTTCTGAAGTGCTTGAACGGTCACCGACTTTTAGCTTATTGTAAATTTGATGATCTGGTGAAGGATCTGTAAAATACAAAAAGTCCAGACGAACGATAATAGTTCAGATATTACTAAATTCATTACAATAGACACGATACTCTTGCAGAGGTATCAAACACAGATCTTAATCCGAAGTGACCAGTGTCAGCTCCTTTCCTGCCTAACAAAAACTTAGTAGTCATATTATTTTCAAGGTAATTGCAATGGGATACAGAAGAGCTACTGACAATGCATACAACAAGACCGTCTGTGAAAATTTATCAGTAGCAACAATGATGAATGAAATATTAAATAATGATTCGTAAGAGCTTCCCCTCAAGGGTATGTTGTGAAGGGTGCTACACAATTACAGAATGAAGAATTAGCTACATAGGTGACCATGGTTTCGCCGCTTAACTGATTTGGACTATGTTTGTTAGTAAGTGTATGTAGATTACATATTCAGTAGTTGATGACAGTGTGGTTATGTGAACGTCTTCAGTAAGACTCGGCAGAGAAGTCCAAGCTTGAGACAACAAACTAAACCAAAATCTGCAACAACAGCTAGCGACCCACCTAACTCCCTGACTCACTCAAGATTGATTAGACGCCAAAGCTGTTACTCCTCAACTTGTCCTTGTAAACTTATGTGTAAAAACAATTGTCCAATTTCATTTTTCAATATCACAAATGAACTTGGTCACTTTTGAGAAGATAAAGCTTACGGCTAGCTGACTTGTACTAATCAAGATTAATAGTTCTTTGCACCACGTTTGTAGGAAATATGTCAAGTATTAGTGGAATGTTATTGTGAGACGCTCCGTTTTTTATTTACGTATTTATAGTCTGTTAAATAGCTGAGTTTTACAAATATACTTTACCATTTGATTTTCTTAACAATTACCGGAGGCCCACGTTTTGTTCCAATGCTCAGGTGGTTTTACTTTAATGGTCTGTTAATGTTCATGTTTTGTTAATTATATCAAATATTCACTCGTGATTCTCTGGTGTTCAATGTTGTTCGATTAATCGACAAATCGAAAATATGAGGTTCCAGTTTTTGTTTTTCTTACTCCTCTGGTGTTGGGACAACATTTTAACTGCTATTGATTAAGTGGACGCTACGTCGCACGTAAGTACTCTCAGTGGTACAGCATAATAATAGAATGTTATGCTGATATTTATTACAATAATAAAGTGATTACTTTGTCTGTTAGGATTTTCACTCTTGAGAACTAACGGCAAGACTTCAGGCAATAAAAAAACGAGACCAACTATTTAAAATTTTGCCCACAACTGAAGCATGAACTGATACAAGGTAAAAGCACACATCACATGCATCCACTTGCATTCGCTCTGCTACTTTGAAAAACTGATGTCGACAGTGCTGCATGCTTCGTACGCAAGCATCAAACAACGTTTTTACCCTATGAGGCAACCATGAACTTCTGACCTCCCAAGTAGTGCTTTTGATATAATTTTCTGTATACCGGACCTATCGTAGCATTGTTCTAATGCAGCTTCATTGTTGATATCCCACACTACATTGGCTTAGCTATATAAGTTTACTGAATTGTTTCGTCACGCTTCCCCTTAGCTAATCAAGTAGGAACCAGCATAGCCAAGTCCCAATCAATGTGACGACAAGTTACTAAATTAGTCTCTTGCAAGTACACCAAACACTATCTTGAATAACTAACTTTCATGTTCCTCCATGTACAGGCGGATTGTAGATATAACTCACTAGAAAACAGTAGTAAGACACATCATGGAGCTCAGACCCGGTAACTGATATAGCACTGCCCTCCTTGACCCGGAATAAATTACAGGCTTGTTTCTCAATTTGCTATGATTGTAACGACAAGCCAAATCATGTTTACGATATTCTTAGTTTCCCGAACGACGTGATAATCGGCTATGCTCTCCATATACACTACTTGTCAGTCGTACTATACTTTAACTACAGCGGATGTTGAGTTCACTTCTTTGAAGATACTTGTGGTCTCAAATCACACAGAACCTCGAATCTCTTTACCGATGCTCAACATTTACCCATTACAATAATATTGATAGGCCCGCACACGTTCGTCACAGACACAACTCTCGTTGATATAGCCTTTATTTGTTCATAAAATTAGCCAATTGAATCCATAACTCACTGGTGAAATAAAGAATGAAGAAATTATCACAATGATTAAAAGGAACAAGTTCAAATTAGTGAAGTATCCACAGACAATCCAGGGACTTGTTCTTGAGTGGCATTAGCTACCCATTAAGCCTATCGGGTTCGATGTATTTTAATTGTACCTGAAGGATCCATCGTAACGACTACAAACACCCGGGCTCTAGAACCGAGATTCTTGCCAAACAAAGACTACGGCTCTACTCTACTGGGTAGATACATCTATTCCATTCAAGGAGGAAAAATCAAAGTTTGCAAAATTAATGATCAAAATTAATGACCAGAGACAAAAGTGTATCCAAAAGAGAATTTATATTGGTCAATTCAAACAAGTTCAATCAAAGAGCAGTGAACCAATATGGCAGCCACCAAAATCAGTGTTCGTGTAAGAAATGAGTTAATAGTCAGAGAGTACTGAATTAAGAATGAGAGTTGAGAAAGCGCAAACATATTTAATTATCAGGAAAAAATATTCTTAGATCACAGAATTAACCTGATGGATAGAAAATTAATGAAAAAGATGACAAACATTATGACCGTGGAGGGACGAAATGCTGGTGTCATATAGGATGCATGTATTTGATATTTTCCAAATCCCACATAAACACACACATAGGAACAGATCTTAAATTACCTGCTCTTCGGAAACGAATCAGTGGGTATCTAAACGCCGTGTTTTGGGAAACCACGATATGCTCACGCCCATCGTTTTCTGTTGTTTTCCGAAGGCCTCGTTCTCGGCAGGACAAGCTTAGTCAATCAACCGATTTTAACAGGAAAAGTCCCTTTTGCTTTTCGGTGGGGTACAAATGGATTTGAAATACTGATGCCGTTGGCCTGGCTCATTCGTAATAACATTTTATCTATTCGTACTAACATCTTTCTTTTAGCAACGATGTTTGTAGTCTGTCCAGTGGTTTCACGAGTCATGGTTGTATCCCAGAGTAATTGAGGACATGTAGAATTATGGTCTACTATTATATTAGTACTGCTTTAATAATAGACTTAATCCTACAATTGCAGAGTTGTCATGATGTAACTGCCTAATCTATAAGTTCGTACGTGGATGTCACATCACTGTCTACCTCAACTCGTTGTATTCTAAAAACCATAAATATATGATGAAGAACACATTTAGGCTGGAGATAGGACAATATATTTAATATGAGTAAAAGTAAGTCGTACAGAGCGACCACGCCTGCGAGGCTGAGCCATGCCACCCGACTAATCAATTGATTCAATTCCTTCTTTCTGCCTTCTCCATCGTTGGGTTTTTCTCCGCGTTAAATGTTGAATATCTATTTCCCCAATTATCTCGTGTTCAGCTCTGAGGATTGTGTGGTTGGGGCTTAATGCCACTGCAGACATACAGTGAAAGTGTTAAAATAATTGGTTGTATTATTGTTATAGTGAAGACTTTAACCAAGCGAGTTCTACTGCCAAAGTGACTGAACTTTTTTTGTTTCTGAAAAAAATGTGCTTTATTATTTATTCATCTGTCCTGGTATGACTGGAGGTAGTAGTTAGCTTACTTGTTCTCAGTCCGTCAGTCAAACATACAGACGGAGTAAATTTTAATGTCATCAACCAGTAATTCCACCGCCAAAAACTCAAATTCTTTTGTGGACATTAAAGATTGAGTGCCATTTTACAATGTCAAACAGTTCAAGTGATTGATTGCTTTTGACTTGAAAGGGTAAAATCACGTAAACCAAAAGTAACACAAACTGATCTAAAGGACAAGATCAGTTGTTGTTTATATGCTATAATCACATTGGAATTGTAAGTCAACGGAAACTATAACGCAATGTCCACAAGTAGCAAATGTACGGATCTTAGAAGACTATTTCAACGGCCACAACATCCTTAATGAAGGAAAAATAAGAAATGGTATGACAATCAAATTGTTGCCATCGGAATTCGCAAATAATCACAAACCAAAAGTTCTGTTGTGGTCGTGTTCCATCCAAGCTATACGATATTTCGAGCCGAGTATATACTTACTGAAAAGATTTACGTTCAAACTGTAACATTTCGAGGACAAAAAACCCCACATCCATCACTAGGGAGCAGTTGATCGGTATGGCCTGGTTCAGCCTGGCAAGTGTGGTCACTCCGTATAACTCATACCTTTCTAAATGGAATATATATTATTTTGTCCCCAGCTGAAATGTGTTCTTCAGAAGTACTAAACATCATATTGCTGATTGCCACGAAGTACGAATCAGTACAGACAATAATGAGAATTTCATGAAAGATCTCATAGAATAGGTAGTCACATCATGACGAATCTACAATTTTGGGGTCAGATCTATTGTTATGGTAACAAACAAATGTATTAATGCCGAACTAGACCATAATTCTACAGCCCTTCTCGCGTTGTTACATGATCTAGATTAAGACATTGACGAGATGGGCTGACTGACTTAACCTTGAGGCTTGTATACATGAGTTTGAAGTGGGGTAGAGAGATTAAAACTATCCTATCATCTGATTGACTAACAAACACGCGAGAGAGAGAAGATGAGTCAACTGAAGCACTACAAAATTTAATCCCGATTCCGATATAGTTCCCGATTTTGGATTAGTGTAAAAAGATACTTGAATAAGTAGATGAATAACCAGACCACAATGAACAATAATTAGGAAAATACAATTTTGTCCAAAACTGGAGATTAGCGTAGAAAGTAGAGTACAAAATATTACGTTTAAATTACAATGGCTTTGTAACAAAAGAGGCTATAGGATTAAATCGTACATCAAACGAAATCTTACGATCTTTATAATAGACTAGGCACAAATACATAGGCCTTCCAGCCATGGTCGTTATTAAAACCCTTTTTTCTTTGTACTCACTATTCGGTTGTCTTAACTTCGAGTGCTGCATACAGGCGGCTAGTCTCTCCATAAAGAGACAATGAGCTGTTGGAAAAGGTCTGGTTCTCGGAACAGCAAAGCTTCCGTATGATTCTCGACTGGCCAGATTAAACCTATTTTCATTGTCAGATGGAAGAACCAGAAGCGACTTGATCACAGTTTTAAATTACTTGGTGATAGATTTGCTCTAACTTTTCTTGTATTTCAGAACAAGGATTTAACGAGGACACTTTGAAAAAGCTGACAAGCCCAGAATAAATTACTTGTCATCCCACTGTCGACATTGTCATCGACTCATCAACGAATGAAATTCACTGAGTTAACATGTGATTGAAGTTTCATATGTCGACGTCATCAGACAGAAACGAGATCGACTAAAAGATCGCGATTGCCAGAACCGACACAGTCCTCTGTAATTTCAAAACCATAGCCAAAATGTCTTCTTAAAATTTATCAAATAAACGTAGCTTAGGACCAGTTAAACGTCACTGGGTCCTGGTCAAATCATCATGCAGTCGGGCCAGTGAGTGTCGAATAACCCATCGATCCTCATCAGGTTCAAGGGTAGCCAACGCCCATTTTGTGAACGCACGCCACCAACTGACCCATGGGATGAAGGTCACATTATCCTCCTTGTTCACGCTCTTACTAATATATTTCT